CTAAAGTGAGAGTTCAAGACACGTGTGCGGAACTGTCTGAAGCACACTCCTTATCCAGAGAGACAGCTGGACTTTTAAAGTTTAACATGGAAGACTAACTGTTCCGATGGTCCTTGGGGTACTTGTAGAACTTCGAATGGAAAGGTGCTCAGTTTACGCAGTCCATAAGAGCAAACCAAAAAACAACTCTGAGGGAACTGAGACTCTGAGGGACTCTCTGAGAGGCCCTCTGAGGGACTCTCAGGCCCTGAGAGGCCCTCTCAATGAGCTGATCTACAACTCAGCATCAGTGATCCTTGAGATACTTGGCTATAAGAGCAACCATGAGACCCACTACCCACCATGGAAAAGACGGTTAGAGGCTAAAATCAAGGTAACAAGGAGGGAAGTGAGCCAACTGTCAGAGCTCCACAAGGGTACAATGAAAAGACCAGTACCCAGAAAGTACAGCCAGATGCCCATACCTGAAGCACTCGAGACTGCCAAACAGAGGCTCCAAGCCTTGGCCAGCCGCCTAAAGAGATACACAAGGGAGAATGAATCCAGAAGGATTAACCGGCTCTTCTCCACTCAACCAGCTAAGGTGTACTCTCAATGGCAGGGTAATAACAACAGAGCAGACCCACCAAGGCTGGAGACTGAACAATACTGGAAAGGCATATGGGAAAGGGAGGCGTCCCACAACAGCAATGCACAGTGGCTGATCTCTCTACGAGAGGACCACAGCAACCTCCCTGAGCAAGCCCCGGTAACCATCACTGTGACAGATGTTCAAGAAAGAGTCTCAGGTATGAAAAACTGGACAGCACCAGGGCCTGACATGATCCATGCCTACTGGCTAAAGAAACTCACTGCTCTCCATGAGCGACTGGCAGCCCAAATGAACCAGCTGCTACAAAGTGGGACTCACCCTGAATGGTTAACTGAAGGGCGGACAATCCTAATCCAGAAGGATCCATCAAAGGGTCCAGTCCCACCCAACTACCGACCAATAACCTGCCTCTCCACAACCTGGAAGCTCATGTCAGGCATCATAGCGGCCAAGATAAGCAAACACATGGATAAACACATGAGCACGGCACAGAAGGGTATCGGTGTAAATACCAGAGGAGCCAAACACCAACTCCTCGTAGACCGCACAGTTGCCCGAGACTGCAAAACCCGACACACCAACCTGTGCATGGCTTGGATCGATTACAAGAAAGCCTATGACTCAATGCCGCATACTTGGATCATTGAATGCCTAGAGATGTATAACATCAACAGGATTCTGAGAGCCTTCATTGCAAACTCGATGAGGCTGTGGAAAACCACCCTTGAAGCCAACTGCAAACCACTTGCACAAGTGTCCATCAAATGTGGCATATACCAAGGAGATGCCCTGTCCCCGCTACTGTTCTGCATAGGCCTGAACCCCCTCAGCCAAATTATCAACAAGACTGGCTATGGATACCGACTCAAAAATGGGGCCAACATCAGTCACCTCCTCTACATGGATGACATCAAGCTGTATGCCAAGAGTGAGCGAGACATCGACTCACTGATCCACACCACCAGGATCTACAGCACTGACATTGGAATGTCATTCGGACTAGAGAAATGTGGTCGGCTGATCACAAAGAGGGGGAAGGTGATCCACACAGAAGGAGTCTCACTCCCACAAGGAACAATAGCAGACATAGAGGACAGTTACAAGTACCTAGGTATACCACAAGCAAATGGAAACCTCGATGAGGCCACAAGGAAAGGAGCCACAGCTAAATACCTCCAACGAATAAGGCAAGTCCTGAGAAGCCAGCTCAATGGCAAGAACAAAATCCGTGCGATAAACAGCTATGCCCTGCCAGTAATCAGATACCCTGCTGGAATAATCAGCTGGCCAAAGGAGGAGATGAAAGCCACAGATATTAAGACTAGAAAGCTACTAACCATGCATGGAGGGTTCCATCCCAAATCCAGCACCCTGAGACTGTACACGAGCCGCAAGGACGGAGGCAGAGGACTAGTGAGTGTGAGAACCACTGTCCAGGACGAAACAACTAAGATCCATAAATACATCAGGGACAAAGCCTCAACAGACAATGTGCTCAGTGAATGTCTCAGACAACAGGGAACGGAGGTTGAGGTGCCAGAGATACCATCATGGGAGGACAAGCCCCTACATGGGATGTACCACCAGCAAATAACCCAAGTGGCTGATATCAGTAAATCCTACCAATGGCTGGAAAAAGCTGGACTCAAGGACAGCACAGAGGCCCTCATCCTGGCCGCCCAGGAACAGGCCCTAAACACCAGAGCAATAGAGGCCCAGATCTACCACACCAGACAAGACCCAAGGTGTAGGTTGTGCAAGGAGGCCCCTGAGACAGTCCAGCACATCACAGCAGGGTGCAAGATACTGGCAGGGAAAGCGTACATGGAGCGACATAACCAAGTGGCAGGCATAGTGTACAGAAACATCTGTGCAGAATATGGACTGGAAACCCGAGATCAAAGTGGGAAACACCCCCAAAGGTGGTGGAGAACACCAGAGCTAAGATCCTGTGGGACTTCCAGATCCAGACAGACAAAATGGTAATGGCGAACCAACCAGACATTGTCGTAGTGGATAAACATCAGAGGAAAGCCGTTGTGGTAGATGTAGCAATACCAAGTGATTGCAACATCAGGAAAAAGGAGCACGAGAAACTGGAGAAATACCAGGGCCTCAGGGAAGAACTGGAGAGGGCCTGGAAGGTGAAGACCACAGTGGTGCCTGTGGTCATCGGGGCCCTCGGGGCAGTAACCCCCAAACTGGAGCAGGAACAACATCAGACATCTCAGTCCAGAAATGTGCAGTCCTTGGCACAGCCAAGATACTGCGCAGAACCCTCAAGCTCCCAGGCCTCTGGTAGAGGACCCGAGCTCAGAGGATAAGAACCACCCGCGGTGGGTGAGAAGGGATATATATATATATATATATATATATATATATATATATATATATATATATATATATATATATATATATATATATATATAATACACACTAATATATTTCCACATTTCCACATTTTTACAGGTAAACGGATAAATTTATATCTGTAATGTCAGTCCACTGAGTTTATAGTCTTGTCTGTAAATTTGCCTGTTTGTATTTTTTTTTTTAATTGTTTTCTAATTTTCAGTTTTTAACATCCAGTCAGCTGAAAATTAAGATTGCAATCATTGTTTTCAATGCAGTCCTGCAACATTTGGAAAATGAAGGAAATCTGAAAAATGACAATATTAGGAATTAGAGTTAAAATTACCTTTAAGCAGGTAAGTCCACATTTCTGTATTAAACCTTTTTTTATCGGTCTTATATAATATTTTAATCAACTATGAGCAGAAAATCATTTTAATGAACAGAACTGAGGGGTTTAAAACATCAACCCCTCAGTGTGTAATTAATCTATAAAAATAAGAAAAATTTTAGAAGGAATATTGGAATAGAATGGAAATGTAGTTTAAATTTAAGAAAAAACAATCTTCTTTTCAAACTAATTCTTCTTAATAATTGTGTCTCATCTCTGACAATTTACTTGTTTGATATAAAGATTTCCAGTCACTTTAATTTACTGAATATGGCTGTAATATGTTCTACTTAATATGAGTTTAAGAAAGGGTCACTCCAAATGAGCTTCAAATATGAAAAAGTTGTGATTAATTAATTTATGCATATGTTTTGTGTTGTTTCTTCATTTCCAAAGTCCGCCTCCATTAAGCATGCAGCTGTCACTCTTAGCTCTAAACACATCCAAACTGTGAAGTCATGACTTTTAGCTGCAGAGTGCTGCCGCGGCGTTATCAGCCCATTGCTTGGTCTCTCCAGCAATAGTTTTCTTGAGCTGCTCCTGATCACCACGTGACATGAGCCCCACAAGGTCAACCACACCGGTTGTGAAACCCCACATCCACCGAGCACAGAAAGAAAAGAGTGAATTGTGGGTTTATTAAGGCTGCACATGTGAAGAAATGATATTTATTTCTATATCTTTCAGTAAATCTACTGAATGTGTTGTATTAACGTTGCAAAAGATTTCCCAAACATTGAGCAATACATCTGACAGTGTAGAAACAAAGGCGTGGTTCTCCTTGTACATCATTATGAAACTTAACACGTAATATATATTTGGGGGGTTTTGTTGTTGTTTTTTTTAATTCACTATCACACACTTTCACTTCCCCTCACAAAACCGCATGAAGGCAGTGAGACATTGCTGAGGAAATGTTGTAAATATGCAGCGATAGAGTCTTGCAATGTTATTATTTTTCCTTTCCAGTCTTCAGGGCAAACCTCTTCTTTCTGTTACTGTTACACAAGCACAAACATAAGACGCCACCCAGTGGACATCCAGGGGTATATTCTCTTTTTCTTAGTTTTGTTACTGTCAGTGAAATATAGAAACAGCATTAATTTATCAACAGTTTTAAGGAGTCATTCTACCTCTGCATGGTTCATAAGTAAGAGGTAAAATAGGTCTGTCTAATCACTTTGATTGAAATGCAAAATAGGGATTTCTTGTAGGGATTAGTTCGCTTTTTTTTCACAGATGTACAAAGAAATTTAAAAGAACCAAACGCATCAACAAAATGCGACTTAACCACACTGTTTCTGAATCGTTCAAACTTAAATTTACGTATGCATGAAACCTCAAATAAATATTGAAACATATGTTCAATTTATTGAAATAAATTTGTCTGTGACACTCATAGAGTTCCCAGAAGTTATGTGGATTAGCTATAACTATATAGATAAACTGAATTTAAAATAAATATAAAATATTAAGCTTGTTTTGATTAGTTAGTACTTGAGTTTTTCTCGGAAAGGCTACTTTTGACTTTTATTTGAGTCAAAATATGCAGAAGCAATTCCATTTTGGGATGTTTACTTTGCTAGTTTGTTTCTCAAAGTCACTCTCTATTCATCCGTTCATGGAATTATTTTTATTTTGAAAATCTAGTGTCGAAGTTCCGGTTAGCTCCGGTTCGCTTCACAGCATTCTATTCGCTAGCCTTCAGCTAGCAGGTGTCGCTAGGCGGGTTGAAGTAGAGGAAAATAACCGACAGGTTCATCGTGATTTCCGGGCAGTGGTAACAGCAGAGGGCAGGTGTTGAGGTGGACTCTCCCACCGGCGGCCTGGTCGGACCTGTCAGCTCCTCTGATCCAGCCTGCTGCTGTTAAACCTGTTTAGGAGGAAGCAGAGTTCAAAGTGAATGGCTGAAGGCTCCTCAGGTAATCGCTTTACTTTCTAAATACCAGCGAGTGAACATGTTTGAAGTTACATTTTAATTACCAGGCATAAAACACTCGATGAGCCACGTTAGCGAATTTGCTTACAGTTCAGTGCTATGCTAGCTGTGTTAGCCAGATGTTAGCAGTAACTTTTCAATTAAGGCTAATGTTGTGATTGTTGTTTCAGCCTAGCTTGGACGCTTTCCTCACTTTACCTCACATAAATGCATGTGAGTGGGAAGTGTGAACCCGACTCTCCACCTGAGCTGGATACTGTAACAGGAGCTGGGAGCATGTGACTGGTTCCAGCTCCAGCAGCGAGTGGGGTTTCTGCTTTAACCAGAAAGATGCACTATGGTTTACAAGTCAAGTTTTACAAACCTCTGAGGATGTCAGAAGTGGATCTGGATGGCTAAAATAAACAGTTTTTTTGATTTAAGAAGGGGATATGTTTACTTTTATGTTTTTCTGAGATTTCACTGTTAGAATATTAAAACCAATTTTTAAGTATTTTAGCCGAATTTTGACAGGAAGTTTCAAATGTTAACAGGATCCTGGTTAGGTAAAAAAAAAAAAAAAAAAAAACTACATTGGAACCTGGAATATTTTGTCATACAAAATTGTAAAATATTCTTAACTTTAATAAACATCTTCCTTTAAAAGCTAAATTACACAATAGTTTTACAAAACACTATTTATTATTCACTATTGTAGTTTAGTTATAGTGCCAAAAGATCCGAGTTAAAATATGTTCTTCACTAAATTCTCTTTTATTTGTTCACTGCCTGAGTAATTTGTACAAATCCTTTTTGAACTCATTGGTCTGAGTTTGCAATCTTCAGCTAAAATTTTAGCAGTTTTTGTGAAGTGACAGTTCAGTTTATTCATAACCCCTGATTCTCTCCTTTCAGTCAGACATCTTCAGTTACTCTGATATCTTTTCTGCTTGCAGATCCGCCTGATCTCAATCCAGATGGGACTCCACATCACAAGCAGCACCACCACAGCTCCAGAAGAACCCGACCCAGACACAACAATGACAGAAACCTCAGCGGTTACAGCTGTGAACCAACTCAGCAATATGGAAACTTTCATGAAGGTTTCAAACACACATTTGGCCAAAATAATTCAAATTACCCTCAGTATGCCACGGCTCCCTATCCAGAAGTGGATGTATCCAGGAGAAGGGGTAGAGGAAGAGGACGGAGAGAAGAAAGCAGGCGTATAAATGAAAATGTCGGCGGTTCTGGTTACCGGCAGCAAAAACCTGGCAGAAATCCAGATCTTTTTGGTGCCAGCAGCAGATACGCCAGTTCCATGGATGGACCTGATGCGCCGAGCTGGAGAAGAGAAAACGGTAGCAGAGATTTTCTGGAAACTCAAATTAAAAAACCAAGAAGCACCAACCAGGAGCAGAGGAAGGGAGAAGAAAATGAGAAAGGTGATTATACTTCCATACCAGATCAAAGACCTCATGGTTCCAGAGAGGAGACCACCAAGAGCAGACCTCAAACGTACGATCAACAGAGGAAAAGCAACGACGTAAAGCGACGTCAAGGACCGATCAAGCCACCAAAGCCTCCGTTTCACGAGGATTCGGGCTCAAAGAGGGGGGAACAGGAAGGAGCTGAACATCTCCGAGCGTCTCAGGATGCCGCCTGTAAATCTGGAAAAGGGTCAGGGCCGCAGAAACCTTTTCAAGGAAGAGGCGGGAGAAGGACGAACCATCAGAGCGTCAACTCGGGTCAGAGGAGCTCCGACAAAATGCCAAAAAGCAAAGAGACACAAACAGGTTGGATCAAAGTTTTTGTCTGTCATTATGGGAGTCAAATTCACCGAAACAACTTTTTGCATTGCATATTTTCACAGAAAGTAGTCCATAATGAGCACAGTATGAAAAATTATTTTAAAAAATGTTGCTTCCCTAATTTATTTTCTACATTTACAGCTGCATAAAATGCCGATATATATATATATATATATATATATATATATATATATATATATATATCATCGCAATAACAAAATATGTAACGATAAACATGCAATTAATATTATTTCTTAATAATCGCACAGCATTCTGGGAGATTTGGGGGTTTTAGCCGCTCAACCTCTCATAGCTGGCTAAGAAATCAACTAACTCACTTGGTCTTTGGTTACCAGCACTTTTTGTCCTGTGGCTTTTTATGTAGCCCTCTACATTCTAGACTAAACACTAAACGTGCTTAAATATTATGTTATCAATCAAATCAATGCAGGTTTTCTATGCTTACTGCCAAATTATATCAGTCAGTTCCTCCAGTTTCTTGAGAATTACACACACTTTTTTGCGCTAATACATAATTGGGAGTTTATTACAGATTTTCTCAAAAATCTGTAAACTTTTTTACTTGTACTAAACAGCTTCCTCACATTTAATTGATGTCAGATTATTGTCCACGAACTATACAAATAAGAGCAAATTTTGCAAATATTTCCAAATTAGTATCACAAACACTTTGATTTTTATTGCAGAAAATCACAAATAGAATCACAAAATGCTGGACGAACTGAAAAGATATTTCAACACTTCAACTGGTTTTATCTTAACCTGCCTTTTAAGAGGCTTCATGATGTTGATTTGGCCCAAAACAGAAATGAGTTTGACCCCCTCTGGGTTAAGTTGACCTCTGCACTCTTCCACCAGTTTCCTGCTCTGTGTCTGGGTATTGAGGTCCGGTTTCCTATGCGCTCTGATCTCCGCAGGGTGCCTGATCGAGCAGCTGTCCGAGGAGAAGTACGAGTGTATGGTGTGCTGCGACGTCATCCGGGTCATGGCCCCGGTGTGGAGCTGCCACAGCTGCTTCCACGTCTTCCATCTGAACTGCATCAAGAAGTGGGCCCGGTCCCCAGCGTCGCAGGCGGACGGTGTGGCCCTCACACACACACACACACACACACACACCCCCACGCACGCACACACGCACACACACACACACACACACAGAACGCGATCCTGATTCAGAATAAGTGATTCCTGCTGATCCGGCAACACGCTGTGCTTTGCAGCAATTTGGAAAGAAGGAGCAGGTGGTTTTTTTGTTTTGTTTTTTGTAACTCTGACCTGAACTCGCGTCTGTTTTGGTCAGATTCTGCTGAAGGTTGGCGCTGCCCCGCCTGCCAGAACGTGGCACTGAAACACCCGGCCACCTACATCTGCTTCTGCGGTGAGAGACGACGAGCCGTTCCTTCCTGGAAAATGTCTGGAGTTTGATTTAACAGTTTTCCAGGTTTGGAAAACGAGAGGGAAAATAATTTTGTTACGTCTATTATCTGTCTTTTCTTCCGTCTATCTCTTTTTATCTATCCTTCCATCCATATTTTCTTTTTGTTCCATCCGTCCTCCTTTTTATTGCCCATCATCCATTTATTCATCATCTATCCATCTTTCTTTTATCTTTCTGTCCATCATCTGCCTTTTCATTTGTTGATCTTTTCTTCTATGCATCCATCCATCTCTTTTATTTGTACTTTCTTTTGTTCTCCATCCATCCTTATGTCCTTTTTCTATCTTTCCTCCTTTTGTCTATATAGCCATCCTTCTTTCATTTGTTTGTCTGTTTATCCTCATTCATCCATCCTTCTCTTTTCTTTTGTCCATTTCTTAACATGTCTCCATATTTCTTTAGTCTTTCTCTCCATCATTTACCTTTTCATCCATCCATCATCCATTACCTTTACTTATCCTTTCCTTTGTTCTTACATCCGTCTTTTCTTTCATCTGTCCTTTTTTTCTTTTTTCCTTCTGCAGTCTTTTTGTCTTCCATCCATCCTCATTTCTTTGTTTTATCCATTCATCTATCCCTCTTTAATTTGTCTTTGTTCATCCTCAGCATCCATTCATTCTTCGGTCCATCTTTTCTTTTCTGTCCTCTTACATATCTATCTATCTTTCTTTCCTCCTTCTTTTCATCTATCCATCATTCATCTGCTCGTCTTGCCGTTTATCAATCCATACATCAATTTTATTTATCGTTTTGTTCTTCCTTTTATCCTTCTGTCTGTCTTTGGTTCCCAACTTCTTTCATCCATATTTCTTTCTTCCATCTATCCATCCTTCTTTCATTTTTCTATCTGTTCATCCTCATCCCTTCTTCCCTGCTTTCTTCATTTTGGTCATTGAGGGAATTTTAACAATAAATTAAATGTTTTTAAAGTGAAATTTTTTCCCTATTTTTAAACATAAATGCGTAACATATTCACTCATCTTAAACACAGCAATGTGATTTTTTACTAAATGTTTTTATTACATATTCAAACTGACTAATAGAAGTCTGACAATTTCATTAAACGTCGGTTTCCTCTCATCTGCTGGAGCTGAGATTTCCTTTCCATTGATTGGCAGGCAAAGTGACGAACCCCGAGTGGCAGCGCAGCGAGATTCCCCACAGCTGCGGTGACATGTGTGGGAAGAAGCGGAGCGGGGCCGACTGCAACCACCCCTGTAACATGTGAGCTGTGAAAACACAACAACACTCCGAGCTGCAGGACAGGACTGACTGTTGAGTAATATTTAGGTGATCAGATGACAGGATGAACACAGAGCTGCATTTCCACAGCTGGGGAAGTAACTAGAGGTTAGAAATGAGATCCTTTGTGCCAGAATGATGTCTGGGACAAGTTCCACGTCTTGTCTCTGAGGACTATACAAGGAAAATAAGTGTCAGTCTTGAAAGAAAGTGAAATCTGCAGATTCTGAGCATAAATATTTAGCTGTTTAAACTTGAGTAAAACAGGATATGCAAAAGGATTCATGAGTGTTATGATTAGACATGCCTGTCATACAATTGTTATACTGGATTTTAGTTTGTTGTGTTTACTGTGAACCTTCTTATGTGTCTGGAATAAAGAAAGATGATGTTGATGATTAGAGTATTGGCATAAAAATGACTTAGTAAAAATGAACGCTAGCTTTTTGGAGTTGTAACGACTACGCCTGTCATGACAGGATGAACACAGATCCTGTGGGCAATAATAATTATGGGCAATTATTATTGCCCATAATTTCTGGGCAATAATTATCCCAGAAATTATTGCCACAAATGTCAATATTGTCATTTTAAAACAATTTTCAGACAAGATGATAATAATAATGTCATATTAATGTGAGTGGATCCTCTCAATGATTTAAAAAAAACTTTTATTTCTAAAGCATATTTAACACTGGAACTGGAAAACATTTTAAATATCCCAAATCCACAAACCACACAATAATAAATAAATGCATTATGAACAAAATGTAACAAAATTGCATTGGAAGAATGGAAAAGACAAACAGGCAAAAGTGGCAGGTAGTGCAAACTAACTACTTCATTCTTCAAAATCCCAACTTTTCAACAATATCAAATGATTATTGTCCAAATGGAAATTATAGCGCTTGTTGTAATTTATCATACAATTGATTGATTTGTTGCTTACAATAGTGGAAAAAGGCCATAATTCACAGCTTTATACTGTAAAATATGTAGATTTTCTTCGTGACTTTTTGGCCTTTCCTCTCAGCTTGTGCCACCCTGGACCTTGTCCTTCATGTCCTGCCTTTGTCACAAAGTCCTGCATCTGTGGGAAGATGAGGTAAAAGCATAAAAACATGTTCATGATGGTTGTTTTTCTAATTGATACTTCCTTACTATTTGGTTATTTGTCAGCCTGTTTGATGTTTTTGATGTTTATTTTGTTTTAGTCAGCCAATGCGCTGCGGCCAGGCCTCAGTCCTGCAGTGTGACTCAATCTGTGGGGCTTTACTCAACTGTGGGGAACACTCTTGCAATCAGGTGTGCCACAGCGGGTCGTGTCAGCCCTGCCAGCAGCAGGTTCAGCAGGGTGAGTCTATCTCAGGCACAAAACATAGTTTATTTCTATTTATTTTCATTTTAACTGTAAAGTAAATGGTTTAAGATGGCGTTTTTTAAGATAATGGAGCACATTAGATTAAAAAGAGATAATAATAGAAACTATTTTAGTAATTATGGACACAAAACTGTTTAAGAAAAAATATTTCTGTCTCCATACTCATTGCTCTCCTTACTGTACTATCAAGAAAGATAAAAACAAATTTATATGACTTTACAAAGAGAGTGGCTTGATGTTAGAGTGGCTGGATTATAAAAATAATTGCCAAAGCATTTATTGAAATGTTGACTATTGTATTTAAAAAATTAAATTAGTAAGAGAGTATGCATTAACAATCTCAGGAACATGAAATCCCAAATTGAAAATAATTTGTAAAAATAAAAAAATTATACTGTAAAAATTCTAAGTGATCAATAGAACAAAATCTAAATGAGAGAAGTCAATAAAAAGGCTTAATTATAATAACTAATCTCATTTTAGTTCACTAAACTACGGTGTTGATGTGCAATCACATCAACAAATAACTAAACACGACCTGTTCTAACCTTTGCATTATTAATTGTAAGAGAAATTGATTACTGAAATAATTATTAGTTGCAGCCTTAAAACAATTAATTTCGTTTAATCTAATCTCGTGTTTATTTTCTGTAGTTTGTTATTGTGGCGTGACGCTTCGTACCGTCCTGTGCGGCACAGATAAAGACAGATTTGACGGCTCAGGACATTTCTCCTGTCAAAACATTTGCTCTAAGTAAGTGTCTATGCTGTGGAAAAGACATAGAGTCGTCCATAGAGTTCTCCCTCGGTGACCGGAGCCCGTTATCTGCTCAGGATGTTGAATTGTGAAGCTCACCGGTGCCAGCAGGTGTGCCACCGCGGGCCGTGCCAGCCGTGCCCGCGCTCCCCCAGCCTGGTGAAGACGTGTCCCTGCAGTCAAACGCCGCTCTCCAAACTCCTGGAGCTGGGCTACTCTGAGCGGCGCAGCTGCTCCGATCCCATCCCATCCTGCGGAAAGACATGCAACAAACCTCTGCCTTGTGGCTCCAATGGTAAGGAATGTTTTACAAACATTTGAAGCTTTAAATCTTAGAATAGTTTTAATTTTGAATCCAGGATTTTGGACTCAGACGTTTGTCATGTTGGGTGTTATTTGTCTTAACAGTTTAGTGATCATTATGCTTTTTTATTGTTCACAGAGCATTGTAAAAACCACAAAGCAAGGATAAAATAATAAAAATCAAAGTAGATGTGTCTAATTTCCACATGTTTGCATGTTTTTCTGAGAAGATTTTCTTTGCAAGTTGATTTTTACGTCAATAGGGACACTTGTTCTTTGTTTTCTGCACAGAATTACTGATCTGCAAAAATAACTTGGAAGGAATTAATTACAAAATACTATATTGATGTTTGGAGTTAATATCAAAGCAGTGAAAAATAGGGGTTTTCATTCATAATTTGAAGTAAAGACAAAACAGAAATGTGCATTTCTCCTGAAAATCTGATCACTAGATGGTTTTTATGCATCCAAAAGTGAGTAAGATACCTAAATAATAATAAATGACAATTATAATTATTATATACTAAATAATAATTTATTTGTTCCTGTATGGGACGTAAATGTTGCTCTTCTAAGAGGCAGTCATTCATCCAATGGTCCAGGGTTTTCTTTTTTTGTTGTTTTGTTTGGTTTTTTTAGTTAACATTTTTTTAAAGTTGGCAGAAAACATAAAAATATCCTTTTAATTATACGTTATTGGAAGATTAATTCCAATAACATATCTATAACATAGATGGATAGATATATCTACATCAACATCTATCTATATCTACATCAACTATAAAGTTTTAAATTTCAAACATTAAAAAAAACACAAAACTTAAATAAGCAATGCTTAGCTTGGAGGGGGAACAAGTAAAGTCTGGTGGCCCGCCAGGCTTGTAATACACCGGGGGAAACCCTGGTATAACTTTAAAAGCGCAAAATCTTACCAAGTATTTTCTGTCTATTTTCGACAGCAAATATCTTAATTCACTTGAAATAATATAAAACTAACTTAAATACAACATATCTGCCAGATATAATGATTTACTTTGAATCAATAATTCATCAATGTTGATTTAAAAATGTACAAAATCTGCTGGCAAATTATTTCACTTGTAAAAATGTATTAAAAGAAACTGTTCAGTCTGTCAGTGGAACTAGCACTTTTTAAATCCATATTAAGGAAACACTGACTCCATACAAGCTCCTAGATCCTGCTGAAAAAGTTACTTTTAAGTTAGTTTGTTGATATTTCAAGAGTATAAAGACATTTGCACGAGGAACGAGACAAACGTACTTAGGAAGATTGTGTTTTTGCACTGTATGTGCTGATACGACATGATAAATGGCTGGAAAAATAAATGGGTATATTCACTAACAAAGCTTTTGCAACAAATAAATGGGAGGAACATCCTCAAGAGTTTTACAAGCTGCTGCTGTGGGTCCAATGCAGATGAGAAGCATAAATTATTTATTTTTGACTTCCCAAAAGAAACTGTGGAAATTTAAACAGTAAACCTTTTTCTAAAAAGTTTGATCAAATGTTGACACAAAAAAATCAAGACCTCCCTTAATTTACCTCTTCAGTTTAAAGTTTGTCCTGCAGACTTTAACTTTTATCTTTAAGATTTATTTTTTAAATCTGTTCTCGGTCTTCCTGCTGGTCCATTGTGTTGGTTTCTCACAACAAACAGGAAGTGCATTATCAGAAGTCCGCTGGCATTGTTTTTGAAGCATATCTGCAGATTGTGATCTTGTTTTTTCAGACGCCATCCATTTGTGTCAAAATTTGTGTCATGAGGGGACTTGTGGGCCATGCACTTTGACCTCCACTATCAGGTGCCGCTGTGGCGCCAAGACCAAGGTAGGCCACAACGTCATCACAGCAGTTATGTTTTTAAAACTCTGAATCTGTAAAAATTCTTCTTTTATTTCAGGAGGTTCCATGTGCAAATATTCAAAAAGAAGGTAATATTTTAGTAGCGTGAAATATGACATCACTGCGTATGTCACTTCCTGTTGTAAATGTCCGCTGTCTCGATCCAGACGAGCTCATCTTCACATGTGAGAGACGATGCAACAAGAAGCGCTCCTGTGGTCGGCACAAGTGTGGAGAGCTTTGCTGTGTGGTGAGTCCTCAGTAATCTGGGCTCCGGTTTGGCCCAGTTGAAGCCCGGCTTCAGAACCGGGCGGAGTCGTGCTGGTTCTGAAACCCGTTTGGGTCGCTGGACGTATGATGTCCTTTAGCTAGGAGAGGTTCAGCTTTTTATCTGTCAGGCTGTCCATCAACCTATCTCTTTATTCATCCCTCAAAACAACCCTTCCATCATTTTATTCATCCATCTCTTTATTCATCCTTCCATCCATCTGTCCATTAATCCATCTTGTTATTCATCCTTCTGTATGTTTATTCATTTCATCTCTTTATTCGTCCACCTGTCCATTTGTTCATCTTTTTATTTGTTTATCTGTCCATTAATCCATCTCTTTATTTGTCCATCTGTCTATTCATTTACCTTTTCATTAGTCTATCTGTCCACAAGACAATCCATTCCTCTCTTTTTTTTTGTCAAGCCAATCGTTTTTGGCTCATCAATCTCTGAAAAAACAATCTGTATATTTCATTGTGAAAATGTAGAAATGTCTTGTAGCTCTGTTCAGTCTTTTCTTTTGTTATCCAGATTTTTCAGCCACTTTATTCACGTAAAATCTGAACACACATGGAAGCTAGTGGTTGTCACAAAATGTGAAAAAAGGTTCAGGGGAATGAAAACCTTTGTAAAACGAATTTAAAGTTTGTCAGAACTGCAAAATGAGTTTGGTATTTTGTCTCCATCCAGAACGCGGATCACAGATGCCCCATGATCTGCAGCTACAAGCTGAACTGCGGCCTGCACCGCTGCCAGGAGCCGTGCCACAAAGGGAACTGCGAGCCCTGCTGGCAGTCAAGTGAGTCATTTTATTCTGGAGCCAAACCTCTACAACAACACATAGAAAAACACCAAGACCCAGTTTAAATTTCTCACATCTCTGTTTCTTTGTGTGGTTATGTTTGGCCCTGAGTTTGTTGCGAATCCTCCTGTTGGCAGGTTTTGATGAGCTGACGTGTCACTGTGGCGCTGCTGTGTTGTACCCTCCAATTTCCTGTGGCACAAAACCACCCGAGTGCAAAAACCTGTGCATGAGAAGACACGAGTGTGACCATCCAGGTAAGATGACTAATCACGATTAATCGATTATTCAAATAATTATTAATCAATTCATTAACTGGAGCATAAAGACTCAAAAAAATTTAATTTATTGGAAGAACAACTTTCTCACAGTAATAAATAAGCCAAAACTGTGTAAAAAAAATCATATTTTTATTTATTTAACATTAAAAAAACATCTTTTCCGGAAATGTTATTCTCAGAACTCCTCCAGTTGAATATTTTTAGCTTTCCATGCAAAGTTTTTGCTTCTGTAAGAAAAACAATCTCCTATTCAGCATGTTCTGTTATTCAACTAATATTTAGTTAATCCCAAAAAAATTACTAAATAATAAGCTCTTCATACGTTGGTGGTAGAAGTATTTTTTAGCTGCAAATAATCATGCGTACAATATTATTACATTTTAGGCAATAAATGTGATGAATTAATAATTTATTTGCATCAATTAATGTATATATTCAAAGTAGTCAAATGGAGAATTTGCAGAATGTGCCAGTTATTTTCTCATATAATCTATTAATCATCAGAATAATTGTTAGTTGCAGCCTTAAACAAAATCTTCCTCTGATTTAGTGTTTCACAACTGCCACAGCGATGACAAATGCCCGCCTTGCACATACCTCACTCAGAAATGGTGCATGGGAAAGCATGAGGTAAACCCCACAAAGGTCACCGAGTTATTTTAGTTTCATTCATTTATTATTATTGCAGTAAGCTTGTTCCTTGGCTCCACAGCAACGCAGCAACATCCCGTGTCACCTGCAAGACATTTCCTGTGGTCTGACGTGTAATAAGTTGCTTCCTTGTGAAATGCACCGCTGCAAACGCCTCTGCCACCGCGGAGACTGCCTGCCAGAGGGCGGCTGCCAGCAGCCATGCATGCTGACCCGGCCGGACTGCGGCCACCCATGCGCAGCTCCGTGTCACAGAGGCAGCAGCTGCCCACGCACCATCTGCACTGCCAAGGTACAGACCACTTTCTATGAAGCTGACGTTTCTGACAAAAAAAAACAAAAGAAACTGATGCAATGTAGCAAATGTTTGATTTAGATCAGGGACGTCCAAAGTGCAGCACAGGGGCCATTTTGTGGCTGAATAAGAATTACACAGGTGATCATTTTAATTTACGTAAAGTTGTTACCATGTAATTTATAAGGTTTTACAATAAGAAGTTCATTCTGAGACTTATTGAAAAGTCGACATTGCTCCACAAAAATCTGTTTTTATTGAATTTATTAAACTTTTTTCACAAGAAGGATCCAAATTCTGTTCTTATAACTGAGGAAACATTTTTCAATCAAGCTCAAAACAATTTGAAAACAAATTTTATTTTTCTTAATACATCAAAATCAAATTTATGTTTGTCTCTATTATAAATAGTGACCCTTTGCTTAAAAAAAACAACAAAAAATAAATTTGTTTGATTTTAGTGTATTTTTCTTTTTTTCAGCCCACAAGTACTTTTGACTGAACAATTTTGAAAAAAGCTTTTAACACCCCTGAATTAGGGATGTACTGCTCACTGCATCGGCAGTAGTGATGGTAAACAACATCACTACTGCTTAAATTACTTTTAACAAAATTCGGACTCCTGTTCTCATCAGGTAGCGCTCCAGTGTGACTGTGGTCGAAGGAAGGAAAGTGTTGCCTGCACAGAAGCTGCTAATTCCTATCAAAGGTAACTTCTCCTCACTTTTAATCACTTTCTTTCTGTTTTACAGTTAAAATGATCTTCTGTAACAATTCCTCCATAGATACGCAGCCATCGCGATGGCCAGCAAACTCTCTGACATGCAGCTTGGCGACTCCATGGACATCGGTCCGCTCCTCACCAAGAAGGAGCTGAAACAGACCAGGTGGAGGAAAACTAAATGCTTCATTTCATAGTGGCTTTCTAAGTATTTATACCCCTTAGGCTTTTTGTTTTTTACAACTGAGCCAATTTCAGTGGTTGCAACTGTCACTGTTGACAGCATATTCCTGATTTATTGGAATATGCTGTGATAAAGCAATGTAAAGTAGTGTAGATTTGTGAATTACACAATTGTAAATTAGTAAATTCCACCAACCTCTTACTTAGCTAGCAGTAAGACATTGAGTGGCTCATCTTCCTTCTGCCTACATTCCCCAGAAAGCTGTGTGGTTCTGGTTTGAATTTCAGTGAAATTATTTAAAATTGATCATGTGTCTACCGGTGTGTGTGTGTGTGTGTGTGTGTGTGTGTGTGTATATATATATATCAGTTGTAAATCAAACTGATTTATGGTTCAGCCACACAAATTCTTATTTGTAAAAACAAGAAAACTATCATTTTCTTTCCACTTTTTGTGTGTCACCTAGAATCCCATTGAAGTTTATACCCAAAAAGTTACTGTCAGAACTGATTTCAGTGGTTTCTATGACAGGTATTGGTTTTAGTTGGAGGTGAGTAGAGTTTTTAAAAGCGTTGTGATTTCAGACTCGAGTGCGATCAAGAATGCGCCACTTTGGAGAGAAACCGGCGCCTGGCTGAAGCGCTGCAGATCGACTCCTCCTCCGACCCCTTCAACGTTCGCTCCACCTCCGTTTACAGCGACAGCCTCAAGGAGGATGCCAGGTTTGACCTTTGGCTCCTGGGTTTTTGAGGACGCCTTGTCTTTTCGTTTTTACGTCGCAGCAGCAGAAAACACAAAGTGGGTCGTCGCAGTAAAACGCAGCATGACTCTGCTTTCAGGAAGGACCCAAAGTTCCTCACTGAGGTAGAGGAAGAGATCAAGAATCTTGTTGAGCTCGCCAATAAGGTAGCATCACAATCTGATACTAATTTACCTGTGGAAGCTTTGACGATTTGCTTTTTTATTTACCTTTTGGGACAGTAACAAACAAACAAAGAGAATTGCATCTAAAAAAAGATGGAATGAGAAAATAAGAAAGTTTGGCAGAAAAAATGTCTTTGTGATTTAAATCATGTTTTTCTTTCTGTCCGTGTGTCATACTTTTTTTCACTTTCTTTTTGCCCATCATTCTCTCTTCCTATCCTTGCATCCACCCTTCATTGTGTCCTTATCTTTGCCATCTTTGAGTCCTTCCTTGCTTGTGTCCTAACTCTTTTACTCTTATCCTTGATCCCTTCCCTCGTGTCTTATACCTGTTCGTTCAATTTTCCTTTGTTCCGTTTTTTCCTCCCTTTCTTTGTATTTCTATTTAATTTCCTTCGATCCTCATCATTCCTTGTCTCTTCCTTGCTTCCTTCTTCCCTTTCTTCTTCCATTCCTTCTTTCCTTCCTTTATTCCTTGTGTCCTATTCCTTTCCTTTACCTCTTCATTTTTTCTTCCTTCTTTGCCTCCTTCATCCTTCCCCAACTCCCCTATGCTTTTCCTTCCTTCCTTCTTCTCTCACTTTTTCCACTTTTAATTTATTCATTCATTTCTTCATCCCTCCTTACTTCCTTCCTTCTGTCGTCTTCTTGCGTTCTGTACCTTTTCCTTACTTGCTTATTTTCTTCCTCCCTCCCTGTTTGCCTTACTTCCTTTGTTCTGGCCTCTTAGTTTCTTGTTTCCTACACCTGTTCATTCCTTCCAGCTTGTTGTTTTTTCAGATTAAACTCTTAAACCCTGCCTATTTTACAGTTATTTACCATAAATCTATAAATAATATTTTATATTTTAAGCCAAATTGAAAGGACTCTGTACTCTGGACATTCTGGAACAGCAAATAAAGGTTTTTGTTCCCAGTAAATGTTTAAAAAATTCACAAATAATGAGGGGAAAACATCTTGAGCTGCGTTTATTAGCTGCCACGTCTGCATGAGTTTCCACAGAAATCACAGCCATTATTCAGGATTAAACTGCCAGAAATCATCTTCATCAGGCCTGAATCGCTTCTCTGTTGCTCATCCTCATCACTGATGCATGCAGGGAAAGCAGCCAAAGCGGAGCCACTGCTTCCCGCCGATGAACAGGGAGCACCGGAAGATCATCCACGAGCTGGCCGAGGTCTACGGCGTCGACAGCGTGAGCTACGACAGCGAGCCCAAGAGGAACGTCGTCATCACCGCCCACAAGTACGTCTGATGGCAGATATGGCGGCCCGCCGGCGGTGCCGATTGTGGTTCTGAGCCTGTGTATCTGTGTTGGCAGAGGGAAGTCGGCCTGTCCGAGCTCGACCCTGACGGCGCTGATAGAGAGGGAGACGGCGGCGCGGGCGCCTCCCCCCATCGCTCATATCAAGCAGCACAGCAGCAAGTGAGTCATCCTCCATGATTAAAGACTTTGACATTTTAGTTGAGGCCAAAACTGAACTTTTTAGCTTAGATGTTGCAGTAATCGATAGATCAATTAATCAATAATTTCGAGTATAGCTTGTTTTTCTTTTTTCTCTTTCTACCAAAAACTGGTTATTTTTATTGGTATTTTATAGTGGAACTAGTACTTCTTTTAAACTAATATTAAAGAATTGTTGACTCAAAGTTAATTTTAAGTGTAGTAAGATATTTGCACTAGAAACTAGACAAAAACTCTTGGTAACATTTTGTTTTTGCAGTGAAAACTGTCTTTTGACTGACAGATAAAAACCAATTAAAATGCATTACTGTGATATTGTTGCAGTGAGTTGCTCCTCTTTGTAACATAATTGGATTAAGGTTCAGTTTAGTTTATCTTTTTTCTTTCTGATTTCTCTCGTAGGGCTGCGGGAGGAAGCTGGTCAAAGATGGTGAAAGAGGAGCCTATGATAGATTATTTTGATGTCCAGGACTGAGACGGAATGGAGAGAAAAACTTCAAGAGCTGCTTGTTAACTTCACTTTTCATCTGACTAAAAGAATCTGAGAAATGTGATCATCTAAAGTTATATTCAGATTACTTACAAATTTGATGATCTACTCAAATTCATCCATGCTCAGCAGGAGTCCCTTTGAAAATCAGTTTGTATGCAATCTAGTAAATTCATTTTATGTGATATTATAATCTTCAAATGCAGAGATTCGTTTAAAACAGCAGGTGTTCTCTCCAGCTTAAGGTCCTTAAACCAAACACCAGGCTTTATTCTGAGCAGTAAAATGTCTTTTGATCTTTTTGTCGGTGTTGAGCCAAGGCTGCTGTTGTAAAAACCTCAGTAGAAAAACATTGTGGGAATACAAACCCTTTGACCTACATGGAGGGCTGCACCTCCCAAAAACATTCTGGAGGCATTTTGAGTTCGGCCTGCTGCAGCATACCTGAGGACGCGGCGGCGGATGCGGGCAAAGCCAGAGCCGATGAATCATATATTTGTTCCTGAGATGACAACAAAGATTCCTCTTTATTAAACCAAATGTACCTGATCACAACATGCCAATAAATCTGAGAAAACCACCAAGAAATGACTCTACTGTTCAATTTCCTGACTCTTTTTAAATGCAAAAGTAGATTTTTCTAACGCAAGTAAGTGCTACAAACATTTTAATTATTAAATTCAACTATTATATGTCTGACACTTTAATGCAGGAATGTTTTAAAAAATGTCAACTAAAGTTATAGTAAGTGGAAAGCGGATAAAATAAAGTCTAATGTAAAAGAATCTTGCATAGATCTACTGCACAGTAATGTTTGTAAATTTAAGCTGGAAAAAAATGTTAACTAAATATTTAGTTTGGAAATCAAATGTTTGGTTTGGAAAATGTGTACCATTTTCAAGTTAAATATTTTTTTTCCAAATTGAATATTCAACTTCCTGACTAAATATTTTAATTTGCATTCAAAATACTTGGTGTGCAAACTAAATATTTAGCTTTCAAGCTAAATTATTAATTTGCAAGTTAAGCATTTCTTTTGCGAGCTAAAATGATGAAATACTAAATATAAATGCTGAAATGTTTAGTTAGGAAATAAATACTTGAATGTTCAAATGCTAAATCTTTAGGTGTGAGCTAAATATTTTGTTTACAAACTAAACATTTAATCTTCAAACTAAATATTTCGGTTGCCAATAAAACATGTCAGGAAGCTCATTACTTAATTTGCAAGCTAAATATTAAACATTAAATATGAATGTATGAATATTTAGTTTGTAGATGGGGAATTAAATATTTAGCTTTCAAACTAAAAATATAACTTCCTAACTATATTTAATTAGCAAATACTTTACTTATCAAGTATTTACACAATATTTAATTTCCTAATTACAGATTTAATTTGAAAGCTAAATACTTATAAATTTAGTTTGCATTTGGGAACTAAATATTTAGCTCCAACTTAAACATTTGCAAATTAAGCATTTAGTTTGGAAGCTAAATGTGTGCAAATTAAATATTTAATTTCCAAACAAAACATTTAATTAGCAAAAAATTTTATATTTATTTTTGAAACTGGCATTTATAAATATATGAATGAGGTGATGGAAATATGACATTTTTTTGTCTTTTCTTTTAATGATGACTAAATAAACTAACAAATATTCCCGTATTTTTTATATTTTTTTTGTAACTTCAGAAATTGTATCCCATTTTGTTGAAATCCCCAAACCCGCCTCTAAATGAAACCTGCTGATGATTATGATGATGAGGAGGAGGAGGATAATTTGTTGACGCTCCCTTCCTCTGGTCATTTTTCATTATATCGCCTTCCAGCAGGGACCGCGCCTGCGCCGCTGCGCTCCTTCTACCCCCCTTTCCCGACCGAGGCTTCTCCAATCCGGGCTCTGGCTCCATCCCCGGCTCGGCGTCCCACAGGCCAGCGCTAATAAGTCGCTTAGCTGCCCAGTAATGGGGAAGTGGTAGAGAGAGTGACGGAGAGAGAGAAAGAGAGGGAGAGAGGCGCCGCTGTGCTGAAAGCCGAGAGGAAGTTGAGGTGGGAAGCTCCGGACCAAAGACCCGCTCCACACAACAGACGGACACATCCTACAGTTGCTGTTGTTGAAACGCTCCCCAAAAAGCGCATAGTGATGGAGAGAAAGGTATGGATGCTTATGCTACCTTGTAGCACATTTTGCTCTGAGTCTCTGCCTGCTCATAAATCCGCATCCACCATGAAAACTATTCCTTGTTACATTTTTTTTCCCCTGACGTTAGGTTCAGGATTATAGTGCGCATTGGAGTTTTTTTTTGTGTGTGTGTGTGTGTTTTATTTTTTTTTTCTCGCGTTGCTGCTATTTATTGTGCGTGTGGAGGGGAGAAAACGTACCGGGATTAAATTGCGCTTGGTGAATAATTTCAAGGCGAGCCTTTAGGTTTGGTACGCGGTGTTTTAGTGAACGCTGAGCAGGGAGTGGGATGTGGATATTTTTGAGGCTTCAGTGTTTGCCTGTCTGCATCATCACACAGCACAGTGTATAGTTGCAGGCTGCACCTCCGCTCCCCCCAGCCCCCGCCACCCCTCACCGTTTTGCAGCCGACGCAGACACCAGCGCGGCTTGTTAACCTTGACTGGTGTGGGAAACAGACACTTGAGGAGTAATAGACGGGATGCACCTCCCTGAGGAGGGCACACCATCACATCTTCTCACTTTTTCTACTTCCCAATTTGACCCCTCAATTCAGTGATAGTAATCAGAGGTGGTTAGAGTACCCAGAAATTGCACTTAAGAGTAGCTATAGCACTTTTTGACTCTAGTAAAAGTGAAAAGCAGAGTTAAAATGTAAATTGGCTACTTAATGTAACTTTTATTTTATTTTTTTATTAGTTTTTTTTAACGTATTTGTTATAACTGTCACTATATATTGACAAATATGAGAAATAATCTGTGAAAAGATTGATCTCCTCCATCAATCATCCTCAGGTACTTGCTGCTAAATGTTCTAATGGCTTTGTTATTGGTGGCTATGCTAGCTAGCCTGAGCATTCATGACGGGCTATGCTAGCTGAAGCGTAGTAGAGAGTAAAGGGAAGAAGGGATGAGCAGCACCACTTGGAATTGTTGTTGACAGCGCAAAGATCCTCGCTCTGATTGGTTGTTTTTAATTAGCACTGGGAGAAGCTAATTTTTTCAGATTATCTTCCTCATAGCGTAGTCTCACGACATAGTGACTGTTTCAATAAATATTTTTAAAAATCTGTGTTTTTTAATAAAATTTATAAATTACACTTTAAGTGTAATTTATTTTTAATAAAAGCAGTTTTTTAAATTATTTGTTAAATATATTTAAAAATCCAGTATGAGACAGATAGTCTGTGGAAAAAAGCTTTCTCCTTAATGAGTTTCTGAATAAATGCCAAAAACAAACCAAATAGAGCCAGGAGGAGGATCTTAGTGCTGCCAATCATCACTGTGTACACATTGATTAATATGTTAAAGAAACCACTTAGCATTGTTTATCCACCATCATCTGTGGCTATGCTAACTAGCCTTAGCTTTCAGAGTATGCTCTACGTTCCAGAAGCTGTAGCGTAGCAGAAAACAAAGGGTAGTATGCACATAAGCATGATTGATAGCACTGAGAACCTCCACCTGAGTCATTGGTTGTTTTTGACAGAGTGGTGTTTTCCTGCAGTTAGTACTGGGAGGACTGGGAGAAGGCAAATAAACTTGTTTTTCAGATTATCTGTCGTAAACTACACTGTTGTGACAAAGTGACAGTTCTAAGAAATTATTTTTTTCTACTTTATTATCACCAAAGTACGACAACATATTGTGCTAAAACTTTAAGTTCATATTTCCCACTCCTGATATAAACAATACTCAAAATTATAGTCATTTATTTTGGAACAACATGGATCTACTTATGCCATCCATAAATGTATGTATAAAACTACTTATTAATGTATTTTAATTATCATTTTGGAGTGGGAACCAAAACTCCAGCCCAAAGACCCACATCCTTGTAAATCCGGTCCTGGTCATCTAACAGAGAAATATATAAAGTTATGTGCAAATTCTGATATTTTAAAGACTAAAACTACATAATACAGTTTCAAAATAACACATTTTAAGCAGAAGAAGCAGATTTCCAAAAACTGCTTTTAAATAAAACTTATAAAACTAATTAAATTAGAGTACCAATTGTTGGAAAAGCATAGAAAACGTCCATGGACAGTGTATGGTGTTTAATTCACTTGACCTCCAAATGGCACAACAGGCCCAGCAGATAGAAAATAACACTAAAACAAGGAAGTTTGTGTAAAAACAAGAAGTCTCACTTTAATTAACTGTAGTGAAGTGACATGCGTTTGATAAAATATCCAGAAATTTTACTCAAATAAGAATAATGACACTTAATAAAATTTCTAAACAATTAAAAGGACTACAAGTCTATTTTTTCCTTAAAACGTTACTCAAGTAAATGTAATTAAATGTAAGTAGTTACTCACCTCTGATAATAACGATGAAAACTTGACTTTTAGTGAGTTGCATATGAGCAGAACAAAAAGTTTTATTTTTACAGTTAATATGCTGGCAGGCTGTGCTGCACGCAGCAGCAGGAGAGAGGAATTTGGGGTGTATGGCTGAAACTAGATCTACTTCTGCTGAGTCAAAGGAAAATTTCATTTTTATGTTAAAGCTGTAGTCAGCAGCAGCAGCAGCTCATTCCCATAAGATCCAACTGAATGTATTCCATTTCTTATGAGCTCCTGAGTTTTATAAAGCAGGCTTGGAAAAAGATAAACAGCTGTGCTTGTTATTTACATCAAAAATGCATTGATTTATAGATTATATTTTTATTTTATTTAAAACACAAGCACTGTTTTAAATAAAATATCATGGTGGTTAGATAACATATGTGTCTAAAGGAGTTTAGCATATTTTCCTTTATTGTGTTAACAAGGTTTTTTCTATATTGAAGTAGCTTTGCTAAACATTAGCATTGGAAAACATGTTAACACAACTGCAGAAGTCTATAGTTTATATGTTTCAGCTGTTAGTCTTTGTTAATATTAACACTTGAACTATGGTGTTACAAAGCAGTTAATCTAGAAATTATTGGAATATTTTTAGGATATTTTGGTATTTGGTATGTGTGGAAACTGTATTATTTCTATGTAAAATATATATAGCATGCTTCTAAGCTTATTATTTGTTGCTGCATCCCAACATAAATAAGCATTGAATCAATTTTAGAATAAGTTTCTTTTTGCTTTTGTTGTTTTTTTATGGTTCATTTGAAAAATGGCTTCATATTTACATTTCTTACTGATTAAATCACCAAAAAATTAACTTTACAATAGTTGAATGTCTCATTGAGAAATCTAATCAAAAATATTTATAATATTTTATAGTCATAGTAATGTCAGAAAACTCCAGGTGATGTGAATTTTTCCATTCATTTGCGATTTTTTCCATGAAACATATTTTAAATTTCCATCTTTGCTGCTTCATCTCCTCTTTCTAAGAAGAATATTGCTCTCATGAAGAGTCAGAATCTGGAAGATGCTTCTCTGTTTTAAGGTT